AGTGCCCCCTGAGCGGCTGAGGCTGGACCTTCACCACGTCTTACAAGCTCAAGAGACACCTGCAGTCGCACGACAAACTGCGGCCATTTGGCTGCCCGGTGGAGGGCTGTGGCAAGAGCTTCACCACCGTGTACAACCTCAAGGCGCACATGAAGGGGCACGAGCAGGAGAACTCCTTCAAATGCGAGGTCTGTGAGGAGAGCTTCCCCACGCAGGCCAAGCTCAGCACCCACCAGCGCAGCCACTTCGAGCCCGAGAGGCCTTACCAGTGTGCGTTCTCTGGCTGCAAGAAGACGTTCATTACTGTGAGTGCCCTGTTTTCTCATAACCGCGCCCATTTCAGGGAACAGGAACTCTTTGCCTGCTCCTTCCCTGGCTGCAGCAAGCAGTATGACAAGGCTTGCAGGCTCAAGATTCACCTGCGCAGCCACACGGGAGAGAGGCCTTTCCTTTGTGACTTCGATGGCTGTGGCTGGAATTTCACCAGCATGTCCAAACTCTTGAGACACAAGAGGAAGCACGACGACGACCGCCGGTTCACCTGTCCCGTAGAGGGCTGCGGGAAGTCCTTCACCAGGGCCGAGCACCTGAAAGGCCACAGCATAACCCACCTGGGCACGAAGCCCTTCGTGTGCCCCGTGGAAGGCTGCTGTGCCAGGTTCTCCGCCCGGAGCAGTCTCTACATCCACTCCAAGAAGCACTTGCAGGACGTGGGCACCTGGAAAAACCGCTGCCCGGTCTCCACCTGTAACAAACTCTTCACGTCCAAGCACAGCATGAAGACCCACATGGCCAAGAGGCACAACCTCAGCCAGGACCTCCTGGCCCAGCTGGAAGCTGCCAACTCCCTCACACCCAGCAGTGAACTCACCAGCCAGGGCCAGAACGACCTCAGTGGTGCAGAGCTAGTGTCTCTGTTCTCGGATGTGCCTGGCCACAGTTCTGCTGCCGTGCTGGACACGGCCTTGGTCAATTCCGGGATCTTGACGATTGACGTGGCCTCTGTGAACTCGACCCTCGCGGGAAGTCTCCCTGCTGATAACAGTAACCATTCCTTAGGGCCAGCGGTGGACCCCCGGGCCCTCAGGGCCCCCACTGACCTTCCCCAGAGTCTGGATACCTCTCTCTTCTTCGGAACCTCGGTGGCTGGCTATCAGCAGAGCCCCTTAGACATGGACGATGTCTCCGGTGGAAACGTGGGGCTCTTTGGCTCCTTGGCTCTGAAAAGCTCCAGCCTGGAGCCCCAGGCTTTGACACCCAGCAATAAGTTAACTGTGGACACCGAAGCTCTGACTCCCTCCAGCACCCTCTGTGAAAACAGTGTCTCAGAACTACTGACCCCTGCCAAAGCCGATTGGAACGTGCACCCCGAGTCTGACTTCTTTGGGCACGAGGAAGAAACCCAGTTTGGATTCTCCAACCCGGCAGGAAGCCACGCTTCTCAGAAAGAAACAGACCTTATCACGGTGACTGGCACCCCGTTTTTGGTATGAACCTACTCGGCCCGTGCCCTGACGGGTGGCTCGCTTTCATTGATTACACTCCAATCTGAGGATGTCCTGTTCTGGACGGAGTGCTGACTTACCTGCGGTCCTTTCTTGCTGCTTTGCAAAGGAGCGCATCTGTGGACTATACAGATTGAGAGATTGAAATTCTCACCCCGAGTCTGGAACTCATGAGTTCTGTGACCGTGAGCAAGTCTCTTAACCTAACTGAGCCTTAATTTTTTCTTTTTATGTATAAAGAAGGTTGTTTGTTTAGATTGCTTCTACTCTCTTTTCAGCTCTTTAGGTTCTTGATAATAAGTGTTTTTTCATTGAAATTTATTGTGACACCCCAACAATGATATGCTCCTATTTTGAATATAATGTAAATTAAGTTATGTGATAGTGAATATATACTTTGCACTTCATGAATTGTAAACCCATGCATCATCTTATTTGTCTTTTTCACTGCCCTTTTTTTAGTATTTTTTAAGGACTACCAGATATTAGTTTATTCATATATATTCGTTACAGAGCTGCAGAATACATTGGGTCTAGAGAAAAGTTTATTATAATAATTTTTGTATCAATGAAAATCCATGTTTTTAACTTCATATTGTCACATAATTGCTACCTGGTTTAAAACTCCTTAATGTTCTGCAATATATTTTAATCTGTACATTTCATTTCCCCCCTTTTCTTAAGATTTTATTCATTGAAAATAATTATTTTTGAGTAGATTTTGCCACATCCCATCTAATTTTTGCTGATTGTATCCTGTTTTCACTCATTTTCTCAATTTAGTAGTTAATGACTTGATCATATTTAAATATTATTTTTGCATGGATGTTTTATAGATTACCCTGCATTCTTTTACAATTTGCTTATAATGTCTCCTTTCTCTTTTTGTGATACTGAGAGCCTTTACTGATCAGGACATTTGGTTGTGATTACTCTTGCTTCTGATATGTTCAGATGTTCTTGTACAATCGCTAACACTTAGGGGAGGAGGAAATGTTGTTTAGAACACTTAGGAAAGTTTAATAGAAATACTATTTAGTGCCAGAATATTTTCTTAAATGGTGGTAAGACTGACAAGACAAATAGCAAAGAGAATTGTGTTTGTTCTTGTCATTGTTGATATTTCTGACATCTTTTGGTGGTAGTAGGGAGGCTGTGTTGTCGAATTGCCATCCAGGACTTTGACATGAAAGCTTCGGAGTCCAGTTTGTGCTCTCTGGTATTGGAGAGGTTGTCTTGAAGATATTAGTCTCACTAAACCTCAGTTTCCTGTTTACTGACTAATGTGTATGCACATGACTAACATTCCTTAGACTTTTCTTCTCATACAGTTTCAACACATAAGAAAAAGTATGTATTTCAGTACATTTTGATCACTTTATATGCTCTTTTTACACTTTGAGTTTTTTGTGTTAGGTAAAAAGGCCTAATTCAGCCCTATTGGTATTCAAGTTAATAAAGTGTTGTGAGGTTTAGAATGAAAAGGAAAGGATCTCTTTATTCCTTACCCTGAATAATTTTCTTTCCTAAAATGTTTGGGAAAGCCAAGAGTGGAAACACTGCTCACGTGGTTATCTCCATACCTCTCTATTTGTTCAGTCTGTCAACATCCTTGTTCTGTTTCTAACACTAGGCTTCTCTCTGTGACTGTGGAGCTCTGGTTCTTTCAAAATCTGATAAAGGAGAAGAGGGTGATCATATCCCTTGTGATCTGAAGAGAGCGTTGTTTATACTTTTCCAGAATTGAAATGAAAGATTGAATCTCAATATTGTGTAAACTCTGTGCAGAGACTATAGCGTTTTTAGTTTGTGGAATGTTTTCATACCTCATGTCTTTTATTTTTGTTCAGAGCAACTCTGTGAGGTAGTTTTAGCAAAGTCTGTGCATGTTTCATATTATAGTTTAGCCAACTCACATTCCAACTGGTTTTGGCTATGACCGACACTTCTATATATAGCTTCACAAAAGAAGAAAATATTTTCACCTCTCCTGTCTGCAACTTCCAAGATTCACTTTCCTCTGTCATCACTGGTTGCTCTGTTCTAACGTAATTGGTTTCTGTTAGCTTCTGCTTACTTTTTCTATAGTATACTCTCTTGCCTGTGCATTCTACTCCTTATACACCTTTCTTTCTTGTTTGTTTTTTTAATGAATAGATATCTTTCCTGTGACTATCCCTTCAACATCTTCCTCATGGCACATTTTCTTTCAGTGCTAGCATTCACTAAGTGTGTACTATAGTTCTGTGTGTACAGTAAAAAGCTATTTTCTGAGCTTAAATAATACTGTGTGTATATATGATTCAAAGCATAAAGGAGATTATTTTTTATGCTGTTCAACTGAGAAATGAATTTCTGTGTCATTGTTTCTATTTAAAAAGTTTTTGCCAGGGAGTTCTGCTAATACTTTCTTATTTGTTCTAGTGTACTAGTCTAGTAGCATTTGCATGTAGATGTCTATGGATGACAGACTTTGGAAATGCACTCAAAATTTGCCACTATGAAATGTTTCTCTGTTGTGTGTGTGTTGGTATTTATACACACCCACAGATACTCGAAAATATTTTAAAAATGGTTGTACGCATTTAGTGAAGATGAAAAGTAGACATACTTTTATAAATCAAAAAATGCTTAGAATTTTATTTTGTCTACCCATTTGACAGTTTTCCATGTTTGTGTTGAAACTATTTGTATTCATAAAATATATTTCAAAAGTGTTATTCATTTGAACGTTCCTAAATAGACCACTATTTTTTGTGTTTGGCAAATAAGTCTGTCAAGGATGAGCTGAATACACAAGTCATGAAAATAAAGTAAATTTATAAACATGAAGATAAATTAATGCTGTGATTTTATTTCTTTAATTCTTCAAAGCAACTTTTTTCCAATATAAAAGCATAAACTATATTTCCCCTACCTACTCCTAGAAATTTCAAAGGGCAAATGCTACTAAAGATAGCAGATTTTATTTGTCCATGTTTTCACAAAGTTTCATTGAACTAAGTTTCTCAAATTCTATTTTAACATGTTTTTTTATAGCGAAATGTTGAACAGCTTTGTGTTTTTAAGGTAAGAAAGTTACTTTCTGTTGATGAGGGTATAAAATTGTCAGCACTCCTTTTAAATAATAGTGCACTGTTAATTTTATTATTTTATTTCCCTTTCCCTTTGCTTCGCTTTAATTTTTGGTTTATTTTGCTGATTGTAAATCAGTAACAAAATGGCTTAAAAGGAAGTCTGTTTTCAGGGGCTCTATTGATCACATTGATAATGAAGTAAAAGAATATTGGCCTTTAGTTGAGAATGTGGTGCAGTGGTAGAACATTTGCCTAGCCGGCATGAAGAATTTGATTTTTCCCACCACAAAAGTGTACGTATGTATGTGTATGCCACAAAAGCACATATGTGTGTGTATGTATGTTTTTCTGTAAAAATACTTTTGTGGGTCTTGTGTTTTCCAGTCAGCATAATGAAAAACTACTTGAACAGTAAGCATGAACCATAGATAGACTATGATAACTTTGTCTTTATGCTCCTATTGAGGAAACAGATGTAGACACAAATTGTAAGCAAGATATTGCTGCACTGCACATATTTCAAATTAACATTCATTTATGCATGTAACATATTGAAGATTCATATATATATATATATATATATATATATATATATATATATATATTTTGACATGTAAACAAATCAGGCTTGAAAGGAGAAAATAGAAAATTAATGTATTATACAGTTACAAAGTAAAAATAAGTTTAACTTTGTATCAGAATGATGGAAAATGAAAAACAGAGTGATGTGAAATTTGTTATGAACACGTAAGAGAGCCAGTAAATAGAGAAGTCAATGATAATGATGTTTTCTAAAAGTTAACTTAATAGGCCTGTGCAGGTGTACATAGAAAAACTTGAATAAAAACCAAATGTTTTTGACAGTTACAATGAAGATAAGGAAGTGTGAAGCCATGAGAGGTGTCAGTGAATTTGAAAGAGAAAGCACATATATTAGAGATATTTTTGAAATTTCTCTAGCACACTAAAAGAATATTATTTAATATATTAGCAAGATAGATATAGATGTTATTATAAAAAGACTGACAAGAGAAACTGGGAATGGTAACTCAGGTTCCCTCGGGAATTATAATAGGATGAGAGGAGTAAACAAAGAGCACTTTTTGGGAATGAGCATATAAGTTTAGTGTATTTAATTAAATGACAAGTGATAGCACAATTATTCATAAGCTGTCAGTATTGTTTATTTGGATTCTGTATAGCAGCAGAAGGCCACTTCCTCTTTCTTGGTTCCTTCAGGCCTGTGAACTAACCTATACACAGTTCTCATTGTTATTTCCCCCTGAAGTGCAAGAGGTATTTTCATCAGATCTGTAACTGACTAGTATGGTAGTGATTAGTCTTAAGGACTGTTAAGTATGTGAATTGTGACTTGTACAAGGGAGAATTAAATTAATGATTAATGTTTAAGCTTTAATTTTAAAACTGTGGCAATATAAAATACTGGTTTTCTGTTATGACCAACTATATTGTTCTGGTAGGATTACATTTCACTTTGGCCATGAGAAGTATTTTCTTTTGTTCTCTTTTCTCTTTAAAAGTTTTTTTTTAATGTAGTCTCGGAAAAACTTGATATCCAAATTGAAATTTATTGTTAATTTAAAATTAAAACCAGACTTTAAAGATAATAGTATAAACATTTAAGTATTTTATTAGTAATTGCATGAAGAATGCTATTTTGAATATATTTGTCTAAAATATTAGTACTTTCTAGTTGTTTTTACTACTTAAATTTGTTTCAATTGATTTTTTTTTTTGAGAAAGGGATTCTCTGTATAGCCCTGGATGTCCGGGTACTTGATCTATAGACCAGGCTGGCCTCAAATTCAGATATCACCTGTCTCTGCTTCGCAAGTGCCAGGATTAAAGGTGTGTGCCACCACTGCCCAGCTAATTGCTTGATTTTTTTGTAGTAGGATATTGCTATGTAGCCAAGGCTAGTCTCAAATTTACTTCAATCTCTTAAATTTTGAGATAACAGGCATGTACTAATACACAAAATATTTTAACTTTCTTAATGTAGCTACTAGAAAATTGAAAATTATGTAAATAACTCTTGCCATACTTACAAAATAAAGTAATATATAAAATTATACTTTAAGCTGTCCTTTTATTAACTGTATCAGTCTGGTTGTTACTTATCTCCCTCCAGCTGCTGTATATAAAAATCAGGTACTCTACCTCTTCTGTCTGTTTGAGGCTCTATTTTCCAAAAAAAAAAAAATCAGTCTTTTACTTTATGCTTAAGGTAAATAACAACAGCAACAATAAATCTTAATGTGTTATAAAGTACTGCATTATAATTTAGAGGACAGTATTTTGCTACTGACTTCAGCAATTACTTTATTGGCATATAAGCATTAGATTTCCTTACACACAAAATTTGTTTTTGTTGTTTCTTTTCTCCCATTCTCATTCCCTAATGTTTGTTTTCATACTTTTGTATTTTCCCTCCTTCCCCAACCCCTGGTTGCCCTCTATCTAGTTTCATAACTTTTACTCACTCTCACACCTCCTTACTTACATACATGCAAACATCAAAAGTTAGGATCTGCAAATGATAAAGAATATATGATTTTTATCTTAGTCACCTTGCTTAATATAATATTTTGCAGTTCTATCCATTTCCTGCAAATTTTCATGATTCAGCATTCTCTATGGCTGAGTATAGCTCAGTTGTGTATATGAACCATGTTTTCATTATCTATTTATTAGTCGAAGGACATAGAGACTGTTTTCATTTTCTTCCTACTTTGAATAATGCAGCAATAAATATGCATGTACAGTCATCCATAGTAGGATATAGAGTCCTTTGAGAATTTGCCAGAGAGTGCATATTCCTGTATCATATGGTAGTTCTGTGTCTAGCTATTTTTTGTTGGTGGTGGTTTTTGTTTGTTCAAGACAGGGTTTCTCTGTGTAACAATCCTGGCTGTCCTGGAACTCACTTTGTAGACTAGGCTGGCCTCAAACTCACAGAGATCCACCTGCCTCTGCCTGCTGAGTACTGGGATTAAAGGCGTGTGCCACCATGCCTGGCTCTATTGTAGCTTTTGGAAGAGCCTCCACACTGATTTCTGTAGTGGCTGTACAAGTTTGTACTTTCACCAGTAGTGAATAAATGTTCCCTTTCTCCACATCCATGCCAGCATTGTTGTCATTCTGGTTTTTAGTCTTAGCCATTCTAACCAGAGTAAGATGAAATCTCAAAGTAGTTTTAATTTGCATTTACCTATTGGCTAGTGATGTTCAACATTTAAAAACATTTATTTCTCAGCTATTTGTATCTCTTTTGAGAATTCTCTGTCTAGTTCCATGTCCCAAATTTAATTGGGTTCTTTCCTTTGTGTTCATTTTAAGGGGATTTTTATTATTTATATATTATAGATAACTTTCTGTCAAGTGTATGGCTTGTAAAGATTTTTTCTCAATGTTGTAGAAATGCCTGCTGTTTCTTTTAAATGATGGTGTCTTTTGCCATACAAAAGGTTTTTAATTTCATGGGATCTCATTTGTCAAATTTACCTTTAATGCCTCTACTACCATGGTCCTGTGCAGAAAGTACAGTTGAATGTACATTTCTGTGCCTATGAGTTCTGTGCCTAAGAGATCCTCTTTCACATTCAGGGTATCAAGTCTTATGATGAGATCTTTGATTTTTTTGGACTTGAATTTTGGAAGGGTGTGAGATAAAGATCTAGTCTCATTCTTCTACATGTAGCTTATCCAGTTTGACCAGTACCATTTGTTGAAGATGCTGTCTTTTCTCCAGTGTGTATTGTTGTCTTCTTTCTCAAAATTCAGGTGGCTGTAGTATAATTGAAATTGGGGATGGTAGTAATAAAACCTTAAAGGTACTGGCATAAAAACAGGCACACTGATAAACAGAATTGAGAACTCATCCATAAACCTATGCTTCGACAGCCACCTGAATTTTGAGAAAGAAGACAACAATACACACTGGAGAAAAGACAGCATCTTCAACAAATGGTGGGATTTTTATTATTTAGAATTTTTTAATTATCCTGGCTCTTTTATACTTCCATATGAATTTTCAGGTTACTTTTCTGTGAGGAAATGAAAAAGTTTTAGACTTTTAATGGGGATCACATCAAATCTGTAAATTGCTTTTGGTAGGATATTCATTTTCACAAAATAAAATCCTACCAATCTATGAGCACGAGATGTGTTCCATCTTCTGATGTCTTCTTCAATTCTTACTACAATGTCTTAAAATTTTTATTTTACAACTATTTAATTCGCTTGTTTATAGTTATTACAAGATTTTTATTTTGCTTTAATATATTTTATTTGAGGCCATTGTAAAGTGTATTATTTTCCTGATTTCTTTTCAGTATATTTGTCATGTTTTATATAGGAAGAATATTGACTTTTATGTGTTGATTTTGTATCCTGATACTTTGGTGAAAGTGTTTATCAGCTGTAGAAGTTTCCTGGTGGAGTCTTGAGGGTCTTTTATATATAAAATCATCATCTGCAAACAGGATTATTTTGACTTCTTCATTTCCTATTTGTATCCTCTTTATATCCTCTTGTCTTATTGCTGTAGCTAAGGCTGCATGCACAGGTGTAGAGTGAGCAGACATCATTCTCTTGTTCTTGACTTCAATGAAAATTCTAGGAGTGTTTCTCTGTTTGGCACGATGTAAACAGTGCATTTGTTGTATATTGCTTTTATTATATTGAGATATATCCCTAGACTCTCTAGGAATCACAAAGGGAAGTTCAATTTTGTCAAAG